ACTGAAAAAATGATAGAAATTTAATTGAACAGAATTACTACGTCCAGAAGCCCACTCAACAATATTTTTAATAAACTATGCTTGTACATCAAATAAAAATTGTTATGAACAAGTTTTATCAAATGCATTCCATCTAAAATTAATATAAAATCCTAGTTTCAATGCGTTTGAGGCAGATGTGACTAAACCCAGTTAATTGCCAATCTATGCCCGATTAGTTTTGGTAGACAGTTCTTTTTCACGTAAAATAATGGATACGAATACTCCTGTATGACTTATTTTTACGCGATTCCCACATTTTGTGGGCTTTCGAAATCGAGCCTGTATAAACTATTTGAGAAGTTGTATTAATTTTTAAAACAGAATGAACAAAAAGTATGGATAAATATTTATTTCTAGGCCTCTGTGAATTTTTCCGAAAAGGAAATATTAATTCAATAACCTAAAATCTTTATTGTTCACATAGCTATATATAGCCGAGTATGAACTTCCTGAACATTGTGGCTTCGGCTTGCCTAGTTGGATCAATGCACCATACAGTTAACTGGAGGAGGGTGGAACATCTTGAACCATCAAATAATCTGTATATATTCTCTATTCAATTTCATAAGTCTGACTCCTCGACCCTTTTTATAAATATACTTTTGTTCAGCATTTTGCTCTCACCACATAATCACTGAATGTGTTCATCAGCTAAAATTAAGACTGGTTTTATTTCTATCGATGCAATCTTCCTATATTAACCAGTCTGCTAATAATCCCTGGCAAACGGTATTGAAATATTAGTCGTCTGCAGTAGTAACAGAACCTTTTTCGCGCTGACAAGGTTTTCTGAATTAGATTATAGTTCGTAACATGATAAGTTTATCTTAGCGTCTAAATAGGTGGAGTAGACTTTTTATGAACATGTTGACAATGCTACTTCCTGAATATCGGTTAGTAATATATATATATATATATATATATTTATTTATTTATTTATTTATATATATAAGGTACTTTGCTAAATATTTTTCCCAAAAATTACTTTAATTAGGTGATTTCTTTCGTATAAATTGCTTTGGCCCGAACTTCTCCCTTATTGTAAGCTTTTGTACTAGGCTTACTAATAATACTATTTATTGTTTTCCAATCGGAAATATTGTTGGATTATATTCTTTACCATATTTAACAATTAATGGCCACGTAATTTTTATATTACTTTCAGCATGGTTGCCTAGGATGTTTAAATCTTTCTAATAGGAAGTGTTATTTTTAAATTGGTATTTTATCCTATACATTCTGACACATTTTCAACATTTTCATCAAAACCTATAAATTCACTTTTATTATTACGTTGAATATTTTAAGAAAATAAATACTTTTTGATATAAGGCATAGTATAATTTCGAACTAATAACAATTCGAACCCTATTGACAGGATTCCCTCGGAGGGAATACGAAAACCTTAATGATCGCTTGCATATCACCGGCAGACAACAATTATGAAGAATCTCTAAGCACTTTGCGCTATGCAAACCGCGCAAAGAACATCCAAAATACACCGAAAATTAATGAAGATCCAAAAGATGCATTACTTCGGACGTATCAAGAAGAAATTAAGCGGCTCCACCAACTTTTGGAAGGCAAAGGAGAGCCTAATCTTAGTGCGTTGGTGACTGATAGAATCGAGTCGGATACGAGATCTCACTCGGTTATGGAGAGGCTCAAAACACATCAGCGAGGGGACAGCGAAGCTGAGGAACTGGCTGAAAGAGTTGAAGCCGATTCTAGCAAAATGGAACAAATTATAAGGGAAAAAGAACTGCTGAAGCAGGTTAATAAATTGTGCTTTAAAGATATACCTTCTGAGTTAAACTTACAAAAAATGCCAAAATTGTGGATTAGATCCTTTAATAATTTCGAATTTTGGGATCTAGATCATTATCGTGAACTTATTTTGTGAATCCACTTTACCGTTTATCGTGGAGACGTCAGAGTTTTGTAGCACATTGAGGGAAAAATGCATTTATTAATTTAATGAGAAGTGGTAATGACCATTTACATTTTAAGCTATAAGCATTATTATTGAATCCAAGAATGGATTCCTCATAATTTAATTTCATGAGCAGTCGATTTCATAGTGAAATACCAGTTCATTGCGTCACTATGTTGAACGAGAGATATCCGCATAAGCGTTCAAACACGAATAAAGTCTTATTAAAACAAAATTGTATGCAGAAAAAGATGCTTTCAGAACTAGACAAGCGCACCTAGTCCGAAGCCCATTGAATGCATGCTCATTTCCAGAGTCGGACTAGGACTCTGGAAGTTATCATGCATACTATAGACTCCGGACAAATGGCTTTTCTCTTGGTCTTTCTACAAATATATCGACAAGTTGCGAAACAACTAGAATTTTGACGAAAAGTAAGTAAATTCTTTCTTATGTAGTTACACTGATATTTTCCTCTACTATGAAATGGGGCTTTGAAACGTGTGAGTTGTAGTATGCAATTGGGAAAAGAAGCAATAGTTGAAATTTTCTTTTCTATTTAAAGAAAAGAGAGTTAAAGCGAGATGGAATGAAGTATTTTAAGGGAATAACATGTTTGAAATTTAGTTAATATTGAAGCCTAGATGCATGGAGATTAAAGAAGTCTATATAAGTATATATAGAATGTTTGTCGTAGCAGTTTTGGCGTATGGTATTTAACTTTGAAGGAAAATATTTGTATAAAGTTATATGATATTGGAATCTCTCCTCTAAAATGGGAATATATAAATAACTATGATAATTGTTTCTTCATGGGTCAAAAAATTGCAATAACATTATTTATCATGTTTGCCTTTATGACTAACTTTGAGGGTCGCTAAAATAGCAGATGTCCGTGAATATACAAAAGTTTCTGCATGAACACACTGTGTTGCAGGTATTGTCACGAGGAGAACAGAAAAATATTTCACAAGTTTATACACACTACTGAGAAGTCACACAAACCAGATCCATTTGCGAATCTTGAAGGACATAGCTGCTAGAACTCACTACTTATTTATGGTTTAGGCTTCACATTTCTGATTATAAATCTCAAATGATCAGATGATATGCCGTGCCTGTGTTGTCTGTCAACGATTTTGGGAAAAACGTAAGTGTAGGCTTTATGTAAATATATACAACATTGAGGAAATTCTCATCAGTTTCCTACATGATACATCAGGTTGAATCTATAAAATAAGTTATATTATAATCAGAAGGATAATAAGATGGCATTTTTCATGAATTTTAATTAAGTGCTATTTAGACAGTTCTAAATAATATTGTTAGAAAGATTTGATGTCACATGGAAATGCATGAAGAAGAGATTGCAAATATGATATCGTCAGAAGACGACTGCTGTTTGGCTGCAGTGGTATTAAAGCAAAGCGATTGCAGTACAACGGGACTCAGCCGTCCTCTTCTGGTGAGATGGACCATCGAATCTTTCTTCATGTAATTTGATACGAAATATAAGTCTCCCCAACATTATTGTATTAGAAGATTAATCGAAACTTAGTTACTTTTCATATGTGCTAAATAATAATTGATTCATTTTTGTAAATATTTTAGGTGAATAGGGCCCGTATCACAAAAGACTTTTGATTTATACAATTTTCTTCATCATTTTTGCCACTCTTTGGTAAATATACGGGCATAAGCTT